TCTAAAAATTATATACTTACATATTTCCATGATTTCCATTTATAAATAATTGGGTGTTACCTGGCCTGACGACTCCTGGCTGTCCCCGTCCCCAGTCCACCTAGTCGTGCTGCTGATCCAGTTTCTGCTGTTCTGCCTGCGCTATGGAACCTGACCTATTCACTGGTCGTGCTACCTATCTCACATCTCAAAATAGGACTACTTAATGTTGGAAGTGAGGGATCTAAGGCAGTCATAGTCAAACTAATCACTGATCATAACCTTGATGTGATTGGCCTGACTGAAACATGGCTCAAGCCTGATGAATTTACTGTGTTAAATGAGGCCTCTCCTTCTGGTTACTGTCACGCCCTGGCTCTGGGGACGCTTGTATGTTGAGCCAGGGTGTGAGTAGTCTTTGTTTATTCTAGTTTTTGTATATCTATGTTGGCCAGAGTGGTTCTCAATCAGAGGCAACGAGTGTCAGCTGTTGCTGGTTGTCTCTGATTGGGAACCATATTTAGACAGGCTGTTTTCCCACAGTGTTTGTGGGATCTTGTTCCGTGTTGGTTTGTTTGTTAACCGAGGACTTCACGTATCGTTTTGTTCGTGTGGTGTACTTAATAAAAAGATGTACGCATTCCACGCTGCGCCTTGGTCTACTCCTTTTGACGATCGTGACAGAAGATCCCACCAAAGCTGGACCAAGCAGCGTGTCGAGGAGCCATCGCCAGGGGAATCTCTAGCGGATCTCCGTTGCAACCTCAACTGGGTCAAGCCAAGTGAAGAGCAGAGAGGTTGGACTTTGGAGCAGTGGGGTGAGAGTCTGGCGAGAGATAGGGAGGCCTGGTCCACGGGGAGGAGAGACACCCAGAACATTTTTAGGGGGGGCTCACGCCGTGGACGACGGGGCAGCAGGAGGCCGCGATAAAGCGGTCCAGCGGGTTGGCAGAGGAGGCCGCCAGGTTACGGGGGCCACTGGTCACAAAGGGGAAGGAAAGTGTAGAGGCACGGCGAGAGGTACTGGGGTGTGTCACCAGTCCGGTCCGGCCCGTTCCTGATCCCCGCGTAGGGCCAGTGGTGTGTGTCCCCAGTACGGTCCGGCCTGTTCCTGTCTCTCGCACCGAGCCTGTGGTGCGTGTCGCCAGCCCAGTCCGGCCTGCTCCTGCTCCCCGCACCAAGCCTATGGTGCGCGTCGCCAGCCCGGCCCGGCCTGTTCCTGCTCCCCGCACCAAGTCAATGGTGCGCGTCGCCAGCCCGGCCCGGTCCATTCCTGCTCTCCGCACCAAGTCAGTGGTGCGCTTCGTCAGCCCGGTCCGGCCCGCTCCTGCTCCCCGCACCAAGCCTATGGTGCGCGTCGCCAGCCCGGCCCGGCCTGTTCCTGCTCACCGCACCAAGTCAGTGGTGCGCGTCGCCAGCCCGGCCCGGCCTGTTCCTGCTCCCCACACCAAGCCAATGGTGCGCGTCGCCAGCCCGGCCCGGCCTGCTCCTGCTCCCCGCACCAAGCCTATGGTGCGCGTCGCCAGCCTGGCCCGGCCTGCTCCTGCTCCCCGCACCAAGCCTATGGTGCGCGTCGCCAGCCCGGCCCGGCCTGTTCCTGCTCCCCGCACCAAGTCAGTGGTGCGCGTCGCCAGCCCAGCCCGGTCCATTCCTGCTCTCCGCACCAAGTCAGTGGTGCGTTTCGTCAGCCCGGTCCGGCCCGCTCCTGCTCCCCGCACCAAGCCTATGGTGCGCGTCGCCAGCCCGGCCCGGCCTGTTCCTGCTCCCCGCACCAAGTCAATGGTGCGCGTCGCCAGCCCGGCCCAGTCCATTCCTGCTCTCCGCACCAAGTCAGTGGTACGCTTCGTCAGCCCGGTCCGGCCCACTCCTGCTCCCCGCACCAAGCCTATGGTGCGCGTCGCCAGCCCGGCCCGGCCTGTTCCTGCTCCCCGCACCAAGCCAGTGGTGCGCGTCGCCAGCCCGGTCCGGCCCGTTCCTGCTCCCCGCACCAAGCCAATGGTGCGCGTCGCCAGCCCGGCCCGGCCTGTTCCTGCTCCCCGCACCAAGCCAATGGTGCGCGTCGCCAGCCCGGCTCGGCCTGTTCCTGCTCCCCACACCAAGCCAGTGGTGTGCGTCGTCAGTCCGGCACAGCCCGTGCCTGTTCCACCGGTGCCTGGTCCGGCACCGGTCAGCTGCTCCACGCCGGAGCTAGAGCAATCCGCTCCACCAGTGTTCAGTCCAGCTCCGGCCAGCAGGGCCAGACCGGACCAGGGGTACTGTGGGGGGTTAGAGAGGGAGTGGGGATCATGCCCGGAGCCGGATCCGCCGCCAAGGCGGAGTACCCACCCGGTCCCTCCCCTGTGGTGTTCTGTTGGCGCGGTCGGAGTCCGCGCCTTTGGGGGGGGGTACTGTCACGCCCTGGCTCTGGGGACGCTTGTATGTTGAGCCAGGGTGTGAGTGGTCTTTGTTTATTCTAGTTTTTGTATATCTATGTTGGCCAGAGTGGTTCTCAATCAGAGGCAACGAGTGTCAGCTGTTGCTGGTTGTCTCTGATTGGGAACCATATTTAGACAGGCTGTTTTCCCACAGTGTTTGTCGGATCTTGTTCCTGTGTAGGTTTGTGTTTTGCACTAAGAACGTCACGTATCGATTTGTTATTTTGTTCGTTTATTACTCTAATAAATACAAGTATGTTCACTTTCCACGCTGCGCCTTGGTCCTCTGTATCCGACGATCGTGACAGTTACACTAGTGACCATATCCCCAGCACATCCCGCAAAGGCGGAGGTGTTGCTAACATTTACGACAGTAGATTTCAATTTACAACAAAAAAATAGTCATGAAATCTATGCTGCCTACTCAATCACTTTTTATAGCTGTTTACAGGCCTCCTTGGCTATATACAGCGTTCCTCACTGAGTTCCCTGAATTCCTATCGGACCTCGTAGTCATGGCAGATAATATGAAATGTTCATGTGACTTCAATATTCACATGGAAAAGTCCACAGACCCACTCCAAAAGGCTTTCGGAGCCATCATCGACCCAGTGGGTTTTGTCCAACATGTCTCCAAACCTACGTATTGCCACAGTCATACCCTGGATCAAGTTTTGTCCCATGGAATAAATAGTGGATCTAAATATTTTTCCTCATAATTCTGGACTATCGGACCACCATCTTATTACTTTTGAAATCGTAACAAATAATTTGCTCAGACCAGGATTATCAAAAGCCGCTCTATAAATTCTCAGACAACCAAAAGATTCCTAGATGCCCTTGGAAAAGTGTGGCGTTGAGTGAGAAAGGAAATGGTTGCATATCCCAGAACCAATGTGTGTCTGTGAGCAGGGGATGTGAGAGAGAGCTTTCAATTTTGTGCAGATGAGGGATGTACATTTTAAAATAAAGTATACATCTAATGTATTATTTATTGTTCTATCATGATGGAATGGTCCCCAACCGTATATCCTAGACACCCACCTGAGCAACCAGGGAATGCATTTAAACTGAATATGGGCACAAACCACCCTACGTGTCTATGGGAATATCATTGTGTGTGTTGTTTAAGGTATTGAAGATGGACAGGAGGGTTTAATGTCTAATTTGTGGGGTGCATGTGCTAGTGGAGCTTGAGGGTGAGTGATGTCATCAACATCTTTCAGGAACCAGACAGCAGTGAAGTCCTGTTGAAGAAATGCCACAATTAAAGATCCGTAGACTTTCATCACAATTATTGTTTTACGTATGAATTTCCCCCCCCATCATGATATTCTAAGAAATGTAAAGATGACAGGTAATGGTATACACAATATGTAGTGTTGATTTGACACTTTACATACCAATTCAATTTGTGATTTGTACTTATGGTTAGAACCTGCTTGGACAGCAAAGCAACATATATCGATGACAAATCTTATTTTTTTCCCTGAGCTGTGCTCTCCTTCCCTCCCTCACTGCAAGATATCTGTCTCTAAAATAATTAATCATAGTTGTCATACCTGACCCTTGAGCCTGAGGGACAAGGTCAAGAATCCAAAAATTCAAGCTAACACTAACCCTACAACCGATCAAAACACCCCATTAAATGGTCCAAAAGGTTAACCAATCATGCCATTTATTTGGGGATATGTGGTACCACACAGCAGGTAAGTGGCACCTTTTAACGGTGATTTGCAAACCACACATTAGGTAAAGGACGCCTTTTAATGGTGATTCATAACCTTTTGAGAATTAGGGTGCAGGTCCGCAACGGAATACCAATCTTCGAAATATGTATCGGAATGACTAAGGCTTTACATGAATTTCACATGAAGTCGTACAATGTTTACACGTCTATATTCGTGGAATAAAGCAGTAAATGTACTCATACTAGCTGTATACAACACCATAATTCTCAAAAGGTTATGAATCACCATTAAAAGATGCTCTTACCCTCTGTGTGGTTTGCGAATCACCATTAAATGGCGCCCCTTATCTGCTGTGTGGTCCGTGTGGTACCACATATAAACGTTGTCCTGTGGAATCCTCTGGAGAGAACAGCTCATCATCTGGATCCCCTTGCTCGCACATCTGTCTCTATAGAAACCCAGTCGGCGTCTCTGTGGTCCCAGTAGAAAGCCAAGGTGAGTTGATGTTACCTAAAAATGTATGTAAGTTATATGAGAAATTAAAGTACGTTTAAGTTACAGTTATTGTTTGATATGTTATATCATGACAAACAGTATGGCTAAGGTTAATGTTAACAAGGGCCCTAGGAACTTTCATGTGTCAATAATGCCTTCAGGGTTAACGTTAGGGACTTCAAGCTAGTTGACGGACACTAACATTAGACTAGCTAACATAACGTTAGCTAAGTTGGCAGACAACTTTAGGTTTGGGCAACTAACGTTACATGGACAATAAAAGTGCCCTACAGTTGTCCAGTAACACGAACAATAAAGGGAGCCAGAAAGTTAACATTGTCAAGTTACAAACAGTAACCAGCTAAAAGTTTATTTTTAAATAGTCAAGCGATTTGCTTAGTTAGATAGCTACGCTAGCTAATCATTGGTCCTTCGGGGTCGCGAGTGGTTCTTCAGAACAAACTAGCAAGCTGCAGCGGTCTCGTGAGTGGCCGTTGGAACTGCCTTGTAACGTTAGCTCGGCTAAATTGTAAAGAGCAACTTTAAAGCTAGGTTACTTAAAATTATTGCTACAATTAACTAGCTAGCCCTGTTCGCTCACCAAATGTACCTTAATTATTCTAACTTACCTCTAAGCTAGCTGTAGCTCTCATCCAGCTGCACATAGGCGTCCTCGTCACGTTTATACAATTCTAGCATAGCTCTTCGTGTCACAAGTGTAGAGAGGAGTAGGCAGGAGGCAGTCACAGGTTTAGAACTACTGCATTTATTAAAGCACCATAGCCACCATAGATTAAAGCGGGACAAAACCCACAGTGCAAAATATAAAGTACTCAGGAAATAGTAGGAGAGATTCCTCTCAGGAAAACAAGCAACATATACAAAGACAAATGACAGAGGGAGTATATATACAGTGATAGAGTGGGGATTGGAACCAGGTGTGTGTAATGATGACGGGACAAGTCCGGGGTTGATGAGTGAAGGGCGTTTGCCAGCAGCAGTTTCGGCAGCAGCTAGAAGGCCGGCGACGCTGAACGCCTGAGCTGGACAGGAGGGGGTGCCAAAGCGAAGGCTGGCCAAGGGACCAGCTGCCACCAGCCTGAGGAGGGATAGATGAAATGAGGGTGAGATACGGTAATTGACGGGGAGCTGTAATCTGTACGTCACCTCATTGATTCTCCTCAGGACTGCCGTGACGTGACTTATATTAATATGGTGACTGTTATTTATCGAATCGACTAACTATGTTTAATTGTCACTCTATTAAATTAATCATGTAACAATTAACTCATTAGGAATTTGGGGCACCACGGAAGAAGTTGTTTAATGAGTTACCATCTCCCGAATAAAACTCTTAGAAGATATATGTTATATATCGATAACAGTCACTTATTAAATAATTACCTCTTATCAGTCTCATTCTGAACGTCGCATAGTCCTTGAACCTGCAAGAACCCTAACCCTATTGATGAATGAGCAATACACAAATTGGCTTAATTATTTATTTACATTTACATTTACATTTACGTCATTTAGCAGACGCTCTTATCCAGAGCGACTTACAAATAGGTGCATTCACCTTATAGCCAGTGGGATAACCACTTTACAATGTTTTTTTTTTTTTTTTTTTTGGGGGGGGGGGGGGGGGGGGGGTAGAAGGATTACTTTATCCTATCCCAGGTATTCCTTAAAGAGGTGGGGTTTCAAATGTCTCCGGAAGGTGGTGAGTGACTCCGCTGTCCTGGCGTCGTGAGGGAGATTGTTCCACCATTGGGGTGCCAGAGCAGCGAACAGTTTTGACTGGGCTGAGCGGGAACTATGCTTCCGCAGAGGTAGGGGAGCCAGCAGGCCAGAGGTGGATGAACGCAGTGCCCTCGTTTGGGTGTAGGGACTGATCAGAGCCTGAAGGTACGGAGGTGCCGTTCCCCTCACAGCTCCGTAGGCAAGCACCATGGTCTTGTAGCAGATGCGAGCTTCAACTGGAAGCCAGTGGAGTGTGCGGAGGAGCGGGGTGACGTGAGAGAACTTGGGAAGGTTGAACACCAGACGGACTGCGGCATTCTGGATGAGTTGTAGGGGTTTAATGGCACAGGCAGGGAGCCCAGCCAACAGCGAGTTGCAGTAATCCAGACGGGAGATGACAAGTGCCTGGATTAGGACCTGTGCCGCTTCCTGTGTAAGGCAGGGTGGTACTCTCCGAATGTTGTAGAGCATGAACCTACAGGATCGAGAACGACGAGAACCCACCGAGAACGACAGGGTGTTGTCCAGGGTCACGCCAAGGCTCTTCGCACTCTGGGAGGAGGACACAACGGAGTTGTCAACCGTGATGGCGAGATCATGGAACGGGCAGTCCTTCCCCGGGAGGAAGAGCAGCTCCGTCTTGCCGAGGTTCAGCTTGAGGTGGTGATCCGTCATCCATACTGATATGTCTGCCAGACATGCAGAGATGCGATTCGCCACCTGGTTATCAGAAGGGGGAAAGGAGAAGATTAGTTGTGTGTCGTCAGCGTAGCAATGATAGGAGAGGCCATGTGAGGATATGACAGTGCCAAGTGACTTGGTGTATATTGAGAATAGGAGAGGGCCTAGAACTGAGCCCTGGGGGACACCAGTGGTGAGAGCACGTGGTGCGGAGACAGCTTCTCGCCACGCCACTTGGTAGGAGCGACCTGTCAGGTAGGACGCAATCCAAGAGTGAGCCGCGCCGGACGGAGATGCCCAGCTCGGAGAGGGTGGAGAGGAGGATCTGATGGTTCACAGTATCAAAGGCAGCAGACAGGTCTTGAAGGACAAGAGCAGAGGAGAGAGAGTTAGCTTTAGCAGTGCGGAGAGCCTCCATGACACAGAGAAGAGCAGTCTCAGTTGAATGACCAGTCTTGAAACCTGACTGGTTTGGATCAAGAAGGTCATTCTGAGAGAGATAGCAAGAGAGTTGGCTAAAGACGGCACGCTCAATAGTTTTGGAGAGAAAAGAAAGAAGGGATACTGGTCTGTAGTTGTTGACATCAGAGGGATCGAGTGTTGGTTTTTTGAGAAGGGGTGCAACTCTCGCTCTCTTGAAGACGGAAGGGACATAGCCAGCGGTCTAGGATGAGTTGATCAGCGAGGTGAGGTAAGGGAGAAGGTCACCGGAGATGGTCTGGAGAAGAGAGGAGGGGATAGGGTCAAGCGGGCAGGTTGTTGGGCGGCCTGCTGTCACAAGTCGCAAGATTTTATCTGGAGAGAGAGGGGAGAAAGAAGTCAAAGCATAGGGTAGGGCAGTGTGAGCAGGACCAGCAGTGTCATTTGACTTAACAAACGAGGATCGGATTTACTAACTAACTAAATAATAACACAGAATACAAACACACATGCACACATAGGTTATTGATTACTAACGTAATACAATGAAAACAGGTCCCTAGTGGACTGGACTAACAATAGCATGAATGCTTGGGTAGAAGGAGGGTTGGCTGATTCAGAGAGAGGGGGGGAAGAAGGAGACAAAGGCATTCACCTATTGGACATTTGTAAACTACGCTCATGGAAATAGAAATGCTTAGCACCCGCTCATTCGGATTAGAAATGCAACATGTATTTACGTGTAGCTGTCCTCGATAGTTGAGTTGGTGATGTAGGACTCTGGTTTGCCCACCAGAGATCCCAATGTCCTTGGTAGAGTTTCTGGTCGTAGTGGTGGTTAGAATGGATACTTCAGCGTACTCTGTAGTTCGTGGAGTTGATCTGTTTTGATAGATACTTCAGATGTACCAACAGTGGTCGGAGAGGGATTGTCCTTCCCAACTCATGTCTTTAGTGAAAGTTCTCTAGACGACTATACATGCCAGCTGCAGACTGATATGATAAGGTCCAGCGCGTGGTCTTCTTCTTCACCTTGTGTAGAGGTTGAGAGTTTCAGAGTTTCACCATTTCAAACGTATGGACTACCGTCTCACGTTTTCTGGTCTTTCTGTTCTAACCATTTTGTAACGTTTAGCTCACGCTTCACGTCTGCTGATCTGTAGAGTGTCAACCATTTTAAGCCGTGGGGCTTCCTGGTCTGTAGTGTTTTGTCACGCCCTGACTCAGGGACGGTTATTTGTTGAGTCAGGGTGTGTATATTTCGTGTTATGTTTAGTTTCTAGATCGTTTAGATCTATGTTGGCCAGGGTGGTTCCCAATCAGAGGCAGCTGTAGCTCGTTGTCTCTGATTGGGGACCATACTTAGGCAGCCTTTTGGCACCAGTCTGTGTGGGATCTTGTTCCGTAAAGGTATGTTATTTGTCTACCTTGGACTTCACGTTTCGTTTTGTTCTTTTGTCGTGTGTTCAGTATGTAAATAAATATGAATGCATATCACGCTGCGCCTTGGTCCTTCTCGTTAATGAACGATTGTGACAGAAGATCCCACCAATCCTGGATCAAGCAGCGTGATGAGGAGAGAGGATGGACTTGGGAGGAAATGAGCGAGAGTCTGGCAAGAGGGATGGAGGGCCATGATCACGGGGGAGAGGACAAGCCCCAAAAAAATATAGGGGGGGGCTCACGCCGTGGACGACGAGGGCAGCAGGAGGCCGCATAGAGCGGTTTCAGCCGTTTAGCAGAGGAGGCCGCCAGATTAAGGGGGTCATTGGTGCAGAGGGAGCAGAAGGAAAGTGTAGAGGCACGGCGAGAGGAGCTGGTTAGGCAGCAGAAGGAGCGGGGGTTTATGAAGGAACCCAGTCCCGCTCCCCGCACCAAGCCAGGGGTGCGCATCGTCAGCCCAGTACGGCCGTTCCTGCTCCCCGCACCAAGCCAGGGGTGCGCGTCGTCAGCCCAGTCCGGCCCGTTCCTGCTCCCCGCACCAAGCCAGGGGTGCGCGTCGTCAGCCCAGTCCGGCCCGTTCCTGCTCCCCGCACCAAGCCATTGGTGCGCGTCGTCAGCCCAGTCCGGCCCGTTCCTGCTCCCCGCACCAAGCCAGGGGTGCGCGTCGTCAGCCCAGTCCGGCCTGTTCCTGCTCCCCGCACCAGGCCAGTGGTGCGCGTTGTCAGCACAGTCCGGCCCGTTCCTACTCCCCGCACCAAGCCAGGGGTGCGCGTCATCAGCCAGGTCCGGTCCGTTCCTGCTCCCCGTCATCAGCCAGGTCCAATCCGGCACGGCCCGTGCCTTTTCCATCGGTCAGCTGCTCCACTCCGGAGCCAGAGCAATCCGCTCCACCGGGGTCCAGTCCAGCCCCGGTCAGCGGCTCCACTTCGGAGCCAGAGCAGTCCGCTCCACCGGTGCCTGATCCAGCTCCAGTCAGCGGTTCCAGACCAGACCAGGGGCGCAACGGGGAGGTGGAGAGTAAGTGGTGGTTACACCCGGAGCCGGATCCGCCTCCGAGGCAGAATGCCCACCCGGCCCCTACCCTATTAGGTTTATGTGGCGCGGTCGGAGTCCGCACCTTTTGGGGGGGGGTACTGTCACGCCCTGACTCAGGGGACGGTTATTTGTTGAGTCAGGGTGTGTATATTTCGTGTTGTGTTTAGTTTCTAGATCGTTTAGATCTATGTTGGCCAGGGTGGTTCCCAATCAGAGGCAGCTGTAGCTCGTTGTCTCTGATTGGGGACCATACTTAGGCAGCCTTTTGGCACCAGTCTGTGTGGGATCTTGTTCCGTAAAGGTATGTTATTTGTCTACCTTGGACTTCACGTTTCGTTCTGTTCTTTTGTCGTGTGTTCAGTACGGAAATAAATATGAATGCATATCACGCTGCGCCTTGGTCCTTCTCGTTAATGAACGATTGTGACAGAAGATCCCACCAATCCTGGATCAAGCAGCGTGATGAGGAGAGAGGATGGACTTGGGAGGAAATGAGCGAGAGTCTGGCAAGAGGGATGGAGGCCATGATCACGGGGGAGAGACAAGCCCCAAAAAAATATAGGGGGGGGCTCACGCCGTGGACGACGAGGCAGCAGGAGGCCGCAATAGAGCGGTTCAGCCGTTTAGCAGAGGAGGCCGCCAGATTAAGGGGGTCATTGGTGCAGAGGGAGGAGAAGGAAAGTGTAGAGGCACGGCGAGAGGAGCTGGTTAGGCAGCAGAAGGAGCGGGGGTTTATGAAGGAACCCAGTCCCGCTCCCCGCACCAAGCCAGTGGTGCGCATCGTCAGCCCAGTACGGCCCGTTCCTGCTCCCCGCACCAAGCCAGGGGTGCGCGTCGTCAGCCCAGTCCGGCCCGTTCCTGCTCCCCGCACCAAGCCAGGGGTGCGCGTCGTCAGCCCAGTCCGGCCCGTTCCTGCTCCCCGCACCAAGCCATTGGTGCGCGTCGTCAGCCCAGTCCGGCCCGTTCCTGCTCCCCGCACCAAGCCAGGGGTGCGCGTCGTCAGCCCAGTCCGGCCTGTTCCTGCTCCCCGCACCAGGCCAGTGGTGCGCGTTGTCAGCACAGTCCGGCCCGTTCCTACTCCCCGCACCAAGCCAGGGGTGCGCGTCATCAGCCAGGTCCGGTCCGTTCCTGCTCCCCGTCATCAGCCAGGTCCAATCCGGCACGGCCCGTGCCTTTTCCATCGGTCAGCTGCTCCACTCCGGAGCCAGAGCAATCCGCTCCACCGGGGTCCAGTCCAGCCCCGGTCAGCGGCTCCACTTCGGAGCCAGAGCAGTCCGCTCCACCGGTGCCTGATCCAGCTCCAGTCAGCGGTTCCAGACCAGACCAGGGGCGCAACGGGGAGGTGGAGAGTAAGTGGTGGTTACACCCGGAGCCGGATCCGCCTCCGAGGCAGAATGCCCACCCGGCCCCTACCCTATTAGGTTTATGTGGCGCGGTCGGAGTCCGCACCTTTTGGGGGGGGGTACTGTCACGCCCTGACTCAGGGGACGGTTATTTGTTGAGTCAGGGTGTGTATATTTCGTGTTGTGTTTAGTTTCTAGATCGTTTAGATCTATGTTGGCCAGGGTGGTTCCCAATCAGAGGCAGCTGTAGCTCGTTGTCTCTGATTGGGGCCCATACTTAGGCAGCCTTTTGGCACCAGTCTGTGTGGGATCTTGTTCCGTAAAGGTATGTTATTTGTCTACCTTGGACTTCACGTTTCGTTCTGTTCTTTTGTCGTGTGTTCAGTACGGAAATAAATATGAATGCATATCACGCTGCGCCTTGGTCCTTCTCGTTAATGAACGATTGTGACATGTTTAAACCTTTTTGCCATATTCAGCTCGCGCTGCATGTCGGCTGATCTAATGTTCATTTGTTTTTCAAGGCTTTTATGCTTGGGTAAGAAGGGGCATTTCATCACGCTGACCCAATGTCTGTGCTTACTTGGGCGAAGTTACTGACTGGCAAAAGTCTCTATGAAAAACTATTATCTCATTTAAAAGGTTAAAATCACATTGCTATCTTCACAAACGTATTCTCATACTTAATCATATATTTTATACAACATTTAGATGCAAACCTGATAACTGAAATGTGTAAACTTCCAGAGATACAGTTATTTAGTAATACCATCCTTAATGACATCACAAAACAATAAACAATATGACATGATTATTCTTTAGAGCCCCACCAACCATTCCAACCACTTAGACGTCAGAAAGAACGTTCCAACGTCCAATCTTTTGAAGAAAAGGGTTTTGGCGGCAATCTGTCCCTGTAACACAGAGACATTCAATACCAGGGACCAACAAGGAGTCGTTTGTTGCAAACCATTTAGGAAAGGCACGAAGGGTCATAAAACCCCCCACATCAATCAATCCTGTGTTCATAAAAATGACTACGGGAGAGAGAGAGGGAGATCTGTAGACTGTTGCTTCTCTGTACTCTGATCTTGGGCTTCTCACGTGGGACCATGACATGAGAGTCATGACAGGACTTTGAACGGCCCCACAAACCATGGGCTCAGCTTCCGGCAGGGCAGGCGGAGGGGCAGGTCCTTTGTAGAAAGCCAGACCCTGTCACCGGGGTGAAAGACCGGGGCCACACTGTGGTGACGATCGGCCTGCACCTTCTGCCGGAGGACGACGTGCTGGAGATGGGTGTGCGCTGTGTTCCATACCTCCTCGGCACACCGGAACCAATCGTCCACCGCAGGAGCCTCGATCTGACTCCGGTGCCAGGGTGTCAGGGCCGGCTGATAGCCTAGAACACACTGAAAGGGTGTGAGGTTAGTGGAGGAGTGACGGAGGGAGTTTTGTGCGTATTCTGCCAAAGGCAGAAACGCAGCCCACTCCCCTGGCCAGTCCTGACTGTAACTACGAAGGTACCTACCCAGTTCCTGATCTACCCTTTCCACCTGCCCATTTGATTGGGGATGGTACCCGGAGGTGAGGCTGACCGTGACCCCCAGTTATTCCATGAAGGCCTTCCAGACACGGGAGGTGAACTGAGGACCACGGTCAGACACAATGTCCTCCGGGATCCTGTAGTGCCGGAAGACGTGAGAGAAGAGAGCCTCCGCAGTCTCCATGTCCGCAGAGAGACCAGGCAGAGGAATCAAACGACAGGCTTTGGAAAACCCGTTCACAACGACCAGGACGGTGGTGTGCCCCTCCGAGGGGGGAAGGTCTGTGACAAAGTCCACGGAGAGATGTCCCCAGGGTCGTTGTGGAACCGGCAGCGGGTGGAGTTTGCCATAGGGGAGGTGTCTCGGTGTATTGCTCTGTGCGCAGGTGGTGCAGGAAGAGACGTAAACCCGGAGGTCCCGGGCCAAGGTCAGCCACCAGTACTTGACGGAGAGACAGTCGATAGTACGGGCTATACCCGGGTGCCCCGACACAGTGCTATGTGTGCCCAGGCGAGGAGACGATCCCGCATATCAGATGGCATGTAGATACGCCCCTCGGGACAGTGGGCAGGTGAGGGCTCCTGTCGCAGGGCTCTACGGATGTCCGCATCCACATTCCACAGGACAGGAGCCACAATGCGGGACAGGGGAATAATGGGTGTCACCAAGGCCCCCTTTAGGTCCCGGTATTCCTCCGGGATAGGGACGTGGGTGGCCTGGTCCAGACTTTCCACGGTGGTGGCACAGATTGACACAGAAAGACACCTCCCCTGACACTCCTACGACGAACCCAACAACCTCCTCTCTGTCCACGATATACTGGGGTTATGCAACTGTAGGCAGGGGAAACATAAAACTACGGGGTGTGCAGGAGAGTCTAAGATGAGGAAAGTGATGCGTTCATGGTGGTTGTGATTAACTGTGAGGGAAATGAAATCTTGGTCTGGCGCACCAGTCCTGTTCCTAGGGGACGGTTGTCTAGGGCATGGACTGGGATAGGGGGTTGTAAAGGGACTAAAGGAATGCGTAATGATAAGGCCACTGACCGGTCTAGGAAATTGCCTGCAGCACCTGAGTCCACTAGGGCAGGACTCAGTGGGGGACCAGGATAGTCAGGGAAGGTGACAGGGAGGAGGTACGTCCACGCCTACCTGGAGGTACGTCCACGCCTACCTGGGAAGGTGCAGGAGCGCTCCTCGGCCTGTCGCTTCCTCGCCTGGTTCACTTTCTGGGACAGGTGTTCCAGGGGTGGTCCGACTCCCCGCGGTAGGAGCAGAGACCCTGTTGACGGCGCCGTTGACATTCCGCAGGGTGGAAGGTGCGTCGTGCCCACCTCCATGGGCTCAGTCTCGCTGGAGGTTCCTGGGAGAGACCCGAACCCCCGGGATGGGCGACGACGGGCACGCAGGAGATTATCCAGGTGGATAGCCATGGCGATGAGCTGGTCCAGCGTAAGGTCCTCATTGCGACAGGCCGGCTCGGTCTGGACGTCCGCCTGTAGCCCGCTGCGGAAAACTGTCAACAGGGCCTGGTCGTTCCAGCCAGTGTACACAGCCACCGTTCGGAAATCCAGAGCGTACTCCGACGCTGGCGTAGACGGAGGAGATGCTCACCTCCCTCTTGGCCCTCTGTTGGGTGGTCAAAGACGGCACGGAAGAGTTGGGTGAAGCGCTCATAGGACTGCACTTCTGGACCGTCCTTCTCCCAGACGGTGTGCACCCACTCCAGAGCCCGGCCTGTCAGCACCGAGATCCCCAAGGCCACCTTGTCCCTCTCGGAGGCCGTCCCGGGATGACGGGCAAGGTGGAATGTCCAGTTACTGGAGTAAACATAGAAAAATTCAAAGGAGGTTGCACAAGATTTGCAAAAACTAAAGTCAGGATCTGTGGAAAGGGAAGAGAGGCATGATTGTTATGGCATGAGCAATTTTGTGCAAGTGGCTCTTCCAACGCAGGAGTCAAATAGTAGGGTTGAGCCAGCTGATGTTTGTACAATAAGTGGTAGTGAGGGTGGGGTTAACGAGATTTGGAGGGACACTGACTCAGACAACCTTGTATGAACAGATGTTGCCTTCCTCTATACAAGAGCTCAAATGCTCAATTCTGGCCTATTTTAGGACTAGTAGAAATCTACAAAGGCGTGGTCCAGACAAACAAGTCACCTTATGTCATTGTGATGTTCTTTGAGGAGAAGAAATCAACCAGTCTTGATTTCTTGCATGACTTTGTTGAGGAAATGCAGCAGCTGGAAACTGAAGGTGGTTTTTTTGGAGACAGAAATCTTCAAGTCCATTACTTGTGACGCACCAGTAAGGGCCTTTGTCAGAAATGCAAAAGGTCACAATGGCTACTATGGCTGTGACAAATGCTGTCAAAGGGGAGTCTACTACCTGAATTATATGACCTTCCCAGAAACAACAGCCCCTCTGAGGTCCAACCACTACACTTTTGATGATTTGACTAATGACTCTCATTACAGTGGGACAACACCTTTAGTATCATTATCAATTGGTTCGGTGACACCGTTTCCTCTTGACTACATGCACCTGGTTTGTTTGGGAGTTACACGGAAACTGATAATTCAATGGCAGAAAGGGCCACTGAAAACACGTTTAGGTCCAGCTGTTGTCAGAAATGTATCTTCACAGCTGACTGACCTCACACTCCATCAGAAACAACAGAAAACCTAGATCACTGAATGAGTCTGACCGTTGGAAGGCAACTGAGTTCCGTACATTTCTCTTGTACACTGTTTAAAAGGGAATATTCCAAGGGTGATGTATGAAAACGTCATGTTGCTTGCAGTTGCCATGACCATCTTCCTAAGTGTATCCTTGTGTGCAGACCACACAGACTATGCTGGAAACCTCCTGGTTTTGTTTGTGGACCACTGCAGCTGCCTGTATGGGAAGGAAAACATAACATATAACATGTATTGCCTAACCCATCTCAGACATGAAGCACAAGCATTTGGTGTTCTTGACAATATCTCTTGCTTCCCCTTCAAGAATTTTCTTGGCCAGTTAAAAAGAATGATAAGAAAACCAAACAAGCCTTTAGAGCAGGTTATACGGAGGCTGTCAGAAAGAGAGGCCATGAGAGCAACACAGTCAGATGCAGAGAAAACACTACAAAAGCAGCATGACAATGGCCCAGTCCCAAATGGTCTAACAGTGAAAGAGCAGTATAAAAAATGCAGTTCACTCACTTCTCCATGCAGATGTCCACTGGGAATAACTGTGTCCAGTTGAGGAACAAGGAGGTTGTCCTAGTGCAAAACATGCTGGTTGAGGAACATGGAGACACTTTGATTGTGTACAAAACATTTAGGAACAAGACAGACCTTTTCGCATATCCCCTGCCATCATCACTGCTTGATATTTTCCATCTCTCTGGATTGAAGGATGAACTTTTTTTCACTCGAGCCACAAATGTGCTTCGGAGGTATGTTCTACTCTCGTGCAAAGAGGGCTTTGGTGGGATGCCATTACTCCATTTGTAAGATGCAAAGCACCAGTATTATTTGTTTCTGTTTTCCCGTTATCTCTTTTCAAGGTAAATTGTCAGGAAAAGACATTACAGAAAATTAATTGTTTACATTTTAGCAGATGCTCTTATTCAGAGCGACTTACAGTTAGTGAGTGCATACATTTTCATACTGGCCCCCCGTGGGAATCGAACCCACAACCCTGGCGTTGCAAACGCCATGCTCTACCAACTGAGCTACACAGGACTATTTAATTGAAGGGATTTTCTTAAACTCCTACAATTAGATGTTACTATTGTGAAATGTAAACTAATCTGAGTGCCCTCATTTGCTTTTTTGTTCACAGTACTATGTTTGCTGTGGTTTATTTCCTGAACGAAGATGACAGTTTAGCTGTCATCTCAAAAACCTGGTGCACCAAGGACAAATGTTATTGGCCTCCATTCAAGAGTCAAGAGAGTTTTTATTATTTTATTTTTTCACCTTTATTTAACCAGGTAAGCCAGTTGAGAACAAGTTCTCATTTACAACTGCGACCTGGCCAAGATAAAGCAAAGCAGTGCGATAAAAACAACAACACAGAGTTACATATGGGGTAAAACAAAACATAAAGTCAAAAATACAACAGAAAATATATATACAGTGTGTGCAAATGTAGCAAGTTATGGAGGTAAGGCAATAAATAGGCCATAGGGCAAAATAATTACAATTAGTATTAACACTGGAATGATAGATGTGCAAGTGATGATGTGCAAATAGAGATACTGGGGTGCAAATGAGCAAAATAAATAACAATATGGGGATGAGGTAGTTGGGTGGGCTAATTTCAGATGGGCTGTGTACAGGTGCAGTGATCGGTAAGGTGCTCTGACAACTGATGCTTAAAGTTAGTGAGGGAGATGAGAGTCTCCAGCTTCAGAGATTTGTGCAGTTCGTTCCAGTCATTGGCAGCAGAGAACTGGAAGGAAAGGCGGCCAAAGGAGGTGTTGGCTTTGGGGATGACCAGTGAGATATACCTGCTGGAGCGCATACTACGAGTGGGTGTTGCTATGGTGACCAATGAGCTAAGATAAGGCAGGGATTTGCCTAGCAGTGATTTATAGATGACCTGGAGCCAGTGGGTTTGGCGACAAATATGTAGTGAGGACCAGCCAACAAGAGCGTACAGGTCACAGTGGTGGGTAGTATATGGGGCTTTGGTGACAAAACGGATGGCACTGTGATAGACTACATCCAATTTGCTGAGTAGAGTGTTGGAGGCTATTTTGTAAATGACATCGCCGAAGTCAAGGATCGGTAGGATAGTCAGTTTAACGAGGGCATGTTTGGCAGCATGAGTGAAGGAGGCTTTGTTGTGAAATAGGAAGCCGATTCTAGATTTAACTTTGGATTGGAGATGCTTAATGTGAGTCTGGAAGGAGAGTTTACAGTCTAACCAGACAACATGGTATTAGTAGTTGTCCACATACTATTGGTCAGACCCGTCGAGAGCAGTGATTCTAGTCGGGTGGGTGGGTGCCAGCAGCGTTCGATTGAAGAGCATGCATTTAGTTTTACTAGTGTTTAAGAGCAGTTGGAGGCTACGGAAGGAGTGTTGTATGGTATTGAAGCTCGTTTGGAGGTTTGTTAACACAGTGTCCAATGAAGGGCCAGATGTATACAAAATGGTGTCGTCTGCGTAGAGGTGGATCTGAGAGTCACCAGCAGCAAGAGCGACATCATTGATATACACAGAAAAAAGAGTCGGCCCAAGAATTGAACCCTGTGGCACCCCCATAGAGACTGCCATAGATCCAGACAACAGGCCCTCCGATTTGACACATTGAACTCTATCTGAGAAGTAGTTGGTGAACCAGGCGAGGCAGTCATTTGAGAAACCAAGGCTATTTAGTCTGCCAATAAGAATGCGGTGGTTGACAGAGTCGAAAGCCTTGGCCAGGTCGATGAAGACGGCTGCACAGTACTGTCTATTATCGATCACGGTTATAATATCGTTTAGGACCTTGAGCGTGGCTGAGGTGCACCCATGACCAGCTCGTAAACCGGATTGCATAGAGGAGAAGGTACGGTGGGATTCGAAATGGTCGGTGATCTGTTTGTTAACTTGGCTTTCAAAAACTTTCGAAAGGCAGGGCAGGATGGATATAGGTCTGTAACAGTTTGGATCTAGAGTGTCACCCCTTTCCAATCTCTGCGGATCTCAGACGTTACGAAAGAGAGGTTGAACAGGCTAGTAATAGGGGTTGCGACAATTTCGGCGGCTATTTTTAGAAAGAAAGGGTCCAGATTGTCTAGCCCAGATGATTTGTAAGGGTCCAGATTAAGGAAGGCAGTGATGTCGCACGAACGGCCGGACATTGATACATGGGAGGTGTATTCAATTCAATTACTGAAGGCAAAGAGTAAGTACTTTAACTGAATATTAAGATACTAAATGTCTCATTTGCAGACATTTACAGATGAACTGATAAGCTCCTGTTTCGTGATGTTTTCAGATTCATATGAGAAAGCCCATGAGTGCTTGGTTCGGGCAGAAAAAGGCTCAAGCCTGGAAACAGTGCCAGAGTCTCACCAAAGAAAGAGAAAGTAAGATTTAGAGTTTGAAATAAAAGGAATCTAAACACTACACTACTACTCTGAAAACTTCATGCTTGCTGTCATTCCTAGGCGAAATCCTAAATTTGATCTGAACAGGTCCTCAGTCCTCTTCGTCACAGGGGCCAGCTGCTCACCAGTCTGAAGGTACCAGATCTTGCCCATTATATTATCTGAGGTGTAAAGGGAGAAATGCTCTACAATGTTAATCTTTAAAAAATAAATAAAATAAAAAAATCTTCTGTCAGCAAGTTACCACAGGTGTGTTTCACTATAATTATTGCTTTCATGCAACGATGTTCAACACAAATCATTTGTTAGATTTAATTCAAACAAATTTTAACAAGTAAGATATAGAAATAACGGAGAAATGTGACAGAAAATGTAACATTAATGGAAAGTGTTCGTTACCTTTCCTAGCAAGTAGTCGAAAGCGAATCCTTGCAATCAAAACGTTGTCCAACTGGGAAAGTTCACCGCTAGCTAGCCATGAACAAACTTGTCTTGTTCACTCCATGTGTTCTCTTGTGAAACACGTCAGTTGACTGATTAAGATTGCATGTGCTTCATTCCTCCAGCAGTAGCTAACTTCCGCTATTTTAGCGCTAGTAATGCTACTACATACGGCCAGTTGCAGTTTGTGGGAAACATTGTTGCAAAGGGGGTTTCCCTTTGCCTTTGCGAAAGTGGTTTCCCTTTGGGAATATCTAGCCAAGTCACTGAATCTGAATACTTTTCTGGATACTTTTCCCCAGTTGAGATGTGGGCGCTACTTACTTTAACTGAAATTCTACATTTGTGTATTGTGCTCAATTTGCAACAGAATCATCACGACCCTGTTCCCGTGCCTCTTCTTCATAAGATTTTCTGGCACCAGTCCACGGTAATTTAAAGTATTCCACTGTACACTTGTTACTGCATACAGCCTATTAGAAAAGCAAAGTCTGGCTACTACCAGCAGCAATTCTGTAAAGATAAATTCAAATAAAAATAAGACGTATTCTTATTAGCTGCATTCTTAGGTAGTTATTTTGAAAATTCTCATCTCAAACAGCTCAATCCTCTTCATCACTGGGCCCTGCTGCTCGTCAGTCTGAAGGTAACTGCAATATGTGCTACTTAGTTGTAGTGTGAGGGGCTCCATAATTACATAAAGTGGAATGTTATACAATGTTGATCTTAAATTGTATTTTATTTTTTTACTGTAAATGACACTGGCTTACACTGGCTTACAGTGTCAGCATTGGTTGTGCATGTTTGGCCCATGCGTTCCATAACTCAGAATCAAACCTGTTTTCATAGAGCTTTTATCTTGTCATTCGAAAGGAATAGGTTTCCAAAGTTTATTACTTGCCCACTGTCATATGTTAAGATTTCGACCGGCTGATTCTTCAGCACCTGAGGAAATTGGCAGAGGATGTCAGAGAGTTGCAATACCAGACCACAGTAAACAGGAACCTCTTAATGCAACTGACCAATGGGTCTCATGGGGACATGGTTCTGCCAGAGGACATTGTGCTTCCTCTGAAGGACAGGCTGATGCTGGAGGAGCTTGAACATCGGCTTGCTGGGAATGAGGAGCTTCAGGAGAAATTGATAATTGGAAAGAACATGGTATCACACTACATACAGTTTCAGTGGCGGCTCCTGAAAAAATTCTCAGGAGGGGCAATTTTTCTGATGATTTAGGTGACCTACACACATTTAAAAAAAGATATGTCCAGCAACAACATGAAGACAGGGGCAGCATATAAGTCAATACCAGAAGCATTTATTGACTGATCTCAAAAGTGTTGGCTTACCAGGGTTGGTGGAGCCCTCAGTTTCATCTTTGCCTCGCAAAGCTAACTCAAACACTCCGCAAAACTTCACACACTGGATTAGCCGGCTGAGGATGTGGCGGTTCTTGCTAATGTCGTAGTAAATATATTTGTTATAGTGAATATGGAATATGATATGTTGAGTAAAATGTTGTGCTAAGATCTATTTAGGTCAGGAGCTGGTTATAAGTTCTGTTCCTATCCAATAACAATGGACAAAAGGGTCCTATCTTGTCAGCCTTGTCAGCAGGTGGCCAAGGACAACACCCACGCCATAGGCCTCTCAGTTCTTCCAACTCACGAGTTCTTGCTCTGAGGACACACACACACACAAACACACACACACACACACACACACATCATCACTGTTAAACACACAC